GGCTTTTAACCCATTCCTTTCAATTTCTGTCTCCCAGCCACCTTAGTTCTGATAAAGATGTAAACTAAATGGCCTCTGGCTCTTTACTGAGCCACATCAGTCACCGAGTAGCACAAGGCCTCTTCTCTGCTGCACTCTGAACTAAATTCCAGCGTCTTTTCTCTGGCAACAGATCTGTCAACTTAGTGCAGAGGAGTGTTTTCAGATGGACTCTAGTTTAGTATTCTGTATCTCAGTGCTAATCTGACTTTTTTTTTGCCCTATTAAAATATCCTTCAGCTTCTCAGAAAAATACCTGATTTAGCTTTATTTAACTGAAATTTGCATTGCTCAAACTGGCATTTTAAAAAATATAATATTATACAATAAACATATATAGAGAAAACCAAAAGAAGGCATTTTAACTGAGTTAACATTAAAGATCATGGCTGTCCCTGAACTTAACGCTTTCCTGAATTATACTGAGTGCTTTTAGCCAGTCTTAGCTTCGGTGCATTTTTGCTGGTTAGATTTAGTATTTTCTCATTGTGAGAAGATGCATTATTTTGTAATGTCCAATTCAGCGATGCAGCTCTTTAGACATGGCGTTATTTATGAATATAAATATATGCAGTACATTGGTTTGGCTATTTATCATTCATGACACTGACATGTAGATTTACCGTAAATAGCTTTTGGTTATCTTATCAAATGCTGACTTCCTTATGCTCCAAAGAGGATTCCCCCACTCCTTTGTTTTTATGTCATATATGTTTCTTCTGTATCACAACCTAAAAATCATTAAGCTAACTTAATGCTTTGTACTCAGAAATATTGTGATAGTCTTAGCATTAATTAGCCTATCTTTGTGAACAAAATGTATTGTACCAGATTTCTTTGCTTCTGAGCTGGACTATCAGTGACTGTACTTATTGGCAGTGTACTTCTGGTCATTGTAACTGACTGGGCTGATCTTGACTTTTAGATTCCATATTGTGGGGAATGGACAGTGATGAATGTATTTCTAGCAGTTTCCCATGAATGAATCTAAACTTGAGCTGTACTGGTTCTGAAAATGAAAGTTATTTATTTTAAGAAATAAAATCCAGATAGTGTTGCTTTTTACAGCATAATAAATGGAAATACCAAGATGGTGGTGGTGGTGGTGGTGATCTGTGCGACTGACGTTGAAATAAGCCTTCAGTCATGGGGAAGGCTGCCCAGGAAGACCTGCTCTGGCCATGTCCATTGTGCAAGGCTTACAGGAAGTGAGAATCGGTTTTTCTGATCTAGCTGCCTTTCTTTTTTTTTCTTTTTTTTGTGGGTTTTTTTTTTTTTTTCTTTTTTAAACCTACGCTTCTAGAGCAGTGTCTTCTCCCTGGTTGTTTTTTGTTAATGCTAGTGGATTGGCTGAGTGCCCTCAACAGCTCTAGCTTCCTCATGCCTATTCTTCACTCCTGCTGGCCTTCATCTCACCAAAAGTTTCTTTCCTTTTATTATTCTTCTGGCTGTGCAGTTAATATAAAAGCCTGACACGTGTGAGACAAGGGATTGCGTCACTTAATAGCTCCACAGAAAAATGATGCACCAGGGGGCCAGCTTCATAGCTCGCAAAGTTTAGCTATAGATCAGTTAGGATAACTCATCAACTCAAATTAGAAATTCAAGCTGAGTTCAGTGAAGTTTGGTTGGGGAAGAAAAAAAAAAAAATCAGTGATGTGATACAAGCAGTAATTAAAAAAAGTATTTTAACAGCCACCTTCTAAGAACTGTGTAATGCAGACTGACCTGCAACGGAGTGGGGAATTAAAAGCATTTATATTGCCTTAGGCTTCAGAACTGTAACTGTGCAACTAAACAAAACAAGTTTAAAATGAGATAGTACAGTAAACTATTGGCAGACACATCATCTTTATAATAGAAGTAGCCAGAAAACACAGGAAAGGACAAAAGTGTCAATGGGCAGTTCCATTTATTTAAAATGGCAAAAGACTGTTCCACCAGGGGAAAAAACCATTGCTTTTAGAACTACTGGCCCTGTAAAGACAAAGCCATGGATAAAGCCTGGTCAATAAAACCAAAGTACAAAAGCAATAAAAACAAACTGCTCCCGTTAGACCATGAGTACAAGGTGTAGCTGAAGAAACAAATATTTGATTTTAGTAAAGATACCCATTCAGCTAGTTATAATAAGCCAAAGTGTTGTCACCCGTTGTGAATCTCTGTAGCACTGATAACCTCAGTAACACAGGGCACCAAGAAGAAGTGATTTAGCAATGCTTTCCATTTAAATACATATATGCTCTAGGTGCTTTAGGTTTATTTTTTCTGGAGTTTTTGCAGGGGGCACATCAGTCTTCCTGGGATAAATTGAACCAGTCATTTCTTTTCTGAGCCGCAGCTAATGGATCTGGCATTTCTGAATGGTAGAGAAGAAGCTCTGCCATCCCCATGGGTCACGCTGGCCGCTGCTGCCCTCCCAGGCACTGGGAGTAGATGGCAGTGGGCTGAGAAGCTGCAGTAGCAACTGCACCATAGACAGGTTGTGGCTGGAGGGACCACTGGAGGTCCCTGTGTCCACCCCTGCTCAAGCAGGACCACCTAGAACTGTCTGCCCAGGTACTGTGCGTGTGGGATCCAGCATGAGTGTTCTGCGGACACTTCAGACCTTGCCTTAAGAAACTAGCAAAAATGCAGTGCAGATAACATTTTTGGCTTATGTTACCTCAGTAGGCCATGCCCTTAGAAAAGATAAAGCCAGGACAAACTTGAGCAGCACATGGATTCGGTGTGGCATGTACCTGCAGAGTGTCTCTCTGCTTTCTGTGATGCAGATGAGAATTCAAAGCTCTGAAAGTGCTTCAGAAGTAGTTATGCAGAAGGTGCAAGCTTTCCGAACAGAACCTCTGCAAAAGAACTAGCTTTCTTTTGAAGCCAATTGTTCTAAATGTTAAATTTAACTAATTCCTTTAAATAAAAAAAATGCATGTTTCTCCCATCACTGTTGCTGAGGACCTCTCATTCCTATCCTCCTCTCTTCTTCCACTCTGGCATGGTATCTCGCTAACTGGAAGTTCTTTAACAAAGAACTTCTAAACAAAGAGTGCATGTAAGGAGGCTACTCAGACTGCTGTTTATATTCCCATTAGTTAAAAATCACTACTGGACCTTCAGGCTGAGAAACCAAAGAATTGAAGAGTATCACTGTCATTGACGGCAGAGCAGGATGCATAAGCTAATCAGGTGTGTTAATGACGCAGTAAAAAGCTCAACCTTTAAGTTGAATATGCTGAACACATCTGCAACGAGAAAAGTAAATGCCAATTAACAAGTTGAGTAAAGCCCTAGTACTCTAGTCTTTGCTAACCACAGGGCACAACCAGGTCCTCCCCAAATAGCACTGTATTCACATCTTAGGATCAAACTACCATTGTGAGGGTGGGGTGGGGAGGAGCACCATACTTTAATTTGGAATTTTTTTCAAAGCACACCCCAAAAGGACAACACTGCTCTGTGAAGAGGCAGCACCTCGCCGGCATTGGCAGGGCAGTGCTTCCAAGCTGCATACCTGCTCTAGCTTCCCTCCCGCCCCAGACCCCAGAGGAAGGAGTACAGCGTTCCTCCTTCCTCCTTTCCTGTCTTCCCCCGCCCCCCTGCAAGATGCACGCTGGAAGCTTTGCTCTCCTGTTCTTCACCCCCATCTCCCTGCAAACAAATGGGAAGAGCAACTGGTAGCAACCCCCATCTAACTATGGATTCCCAGCTGTCCCTATGTGTTTGAAGAGACATGTTCTGGAGTGTTAGCTTGCATTAAGTGTCCGATGTATGTTTGAAGGGGAAAAAAAAAAAAAAGGAAAAAAGCCAGTTCCAGCTCAACATTCTCACAAAAAGCAGGTTTGTGATACATACCACGGTATCAATCTCTGCTGGGCCCACCATCCGAGACACCTCATCAAACTCTTCAGGCGACATGGGGAGCAGATTTTCTGGAGACTGGAGCCTTGAAGGGTGGCTAACAGAAGGAGAAGAGCAGGGACAAACCTTCACTAAAGAAATGAGGCACAGCTGGGCTACCATGTCTGGCTCTTGAGTCCAGAAGGGCCACTAATGAGGTCTTTTGGTTAAGAAAACCTGGCCTATAAGAAATACACCATGCTTTGCAATGCCAGCATGGCTTTAAATGGAAACTGGGACAACTCAGTCATCTACATTCTAATCAAACAAGTCCAACAAGTCTTTAAGAACTTGCTTGTCAAGAAATTATTTGCCAGTACAACTACCTGCAACTTTCTAGGGTTTTTACCTAAAAATGGTGTTTCAAACACAGCACTGCAGGAATGTGGTGTGATCAGATCCTCAAAGAGAAAGAGAGGAAAGATTTGACAGGGGCACCTACACCTTAAATATTGTGAAGAGACATGAACTGCAGCCAAAAGTTACAATCAGTTCCTAGAAATCCAGCATTTCTGTGGAAACTTACACTTCAGATACAGAGATTAACTCGGTCTTGATGTAGCCGTTTCCCTTGGGACCATCCAAATCCATAGGCTCTGGTGCTTCAAGGAGAAAAAGAAACAAAGAAAAGCTTAGGGTTTTTTTAGGAAGTTTACTTCACATTGCCATCTTTATTGTACCAAAAATAAAGCCTGTGACCCAGATAATGTGCAAGTCTCTCTCACGCATTTCACAGCACTATGGT